CAGCACTGTTAGTCTGAACACAGAATCATGTCACGGCATTTAATTCAGCGATAATGAGTAGAGAAGGTACATAGCAGTTAATTACTGACTTGGGCTTTCCCATGTGCATCAAAAGAAATTCCCAATTCCAACAAAAGAAATGGGAATAATTATGTATTGATTTAAGCATTTAGGTATTTCCCTACCACTCCACCTACTTCAGGTCTTTCCCAGGTCAGGGATGATGAAAGGTTGGTACATAAGATTAGATTTATTGAATCAATTAACCCTCATTAGCCTAATGGATCTTCAGGACATTCATGGGCTGTCCTCCAGCTTCCATGATTCATGGGCTGTCCTCCAGCTTCCATGATGCAAGCAAATACAAAGGTTCCTGGGAGTGGAAGAGTTTCTGTAAAAATTTCTTTGGAGGTGTTTAACATACTTATATCTACGGTGGAGCTCATGTCTGCGACCCCTCCTGGCAGTAGGGCGCTGAGCTGTGAGGGCAATGACATTTTTCCCCACAGGCCTCTACAAGACCTTTTGTACTTCTCCCTTCTGCATTTCCAAAAGTATTGACTTGCTAATTTCTGACTTTTGTGTGAAGGAACACGTGACCAGGATAGTTCTTCTTTTCAGCATGCACAAGAACTCAGTAGTGGTTATTGAAACTTCACCTAGTAATGGAAGAAGTACTTAGAACTAAATTAAAGCAAGAGAATATGGTACACAACTTCTTACCTCGGCTTTTTCACTCTGCTAGCTGCACTCTGCAGCTGAAATCAAGATGTGTTAAGCTTATCCAATACCACCCTGTCATTCGCATTTTGTTTTGTGGTCCATGGTGTAATTCCAGTTTTGGTGGTTAGTTTTTTTCCTTTTCTGAACTTTGTTGATCCAAGCCCAGCTAGGCCTACCTTTGGAAACATGTCCATCCATCTTTTCTTCTCTCTGTTGCTATTTACATATTCTCTCAGAAGCATCTTTCTTTCTCTCTCTGATAATCTTTCTGTTTCCAGTGCAGGCATGCAGAGGTTTGGAACAAAAGGCTAGATCCCTCTGCTTTGGGAACCTCAAAGACCCCTACTTAGATTTCATGACTAAGCACCATGCTTGATCTATGAGAAATATATGCACCTTTACCAACAGTTTTAAGACCCCATAATAATTCAGAGTATTTTTTAACACCATCTTTTTTTTTTTTTTTTGCACAGCAACAAATTGTGCATGACTGTTTACTTCTGGGATAATTCATATCTTTGCAAGAACAAAGTACTTGAGAATCTTTTTAAGTCTTTGAAATCAGTGCTCTGCTACCAGAGCTAACCACACTAAATAATGCCTGGCACAATTTTCCTGCCCCAAGACCTTGTTCTCCTGTAACCACATTAACGTTCTGGCTTCACATCATGTCATTATCCTACAAAAATACTACTTCCATGTGTACTTGAGGCCTATCATTATGGTAGATGTGATGTACTACTTGGCATTTTATGTTTGTCTCTGGACTCCCAAATTTTCTCCACTGAAATGAGAGGTCAAAGACCTTTGTGGTTTTAAAAGATGGCTTATTTAGAGAAGGTTTTACAGAAAACATTCTGTATTTTCTTCATTGTTCTTTCCCCCAGACTGGAAGAAAAATAATCCTGACTGAAAATGATGTTTTCCTTTCTGCGAATTGAACACTTACAAAGATTAATTGGTGACTATCAAAACAGGTGAGCTGAAAATATCAAAATGTGACACCAAATAAAAGCAACTGCCAAGGAATTTATGACTCCTGATTTTGCTCAGAGTATTATTTACACACAGCTGATAATGGATTTTAGAGCAAAGAGCTTGCTAAGAAAACAGTGCTGAAACAGACTCGTGCCAAAGACCATGACTTGGGAAATCAGAGTATTTCCTTCTTTACCCTGACACTCTCTCTGTGGGAGGCCTGTCTGAGTGTGACACCATCCCAGCCGCAGTACAGCAAAGAGTCCCAGGAAAGACAGCACAACAGAGGGGTGTAGTGCAAAATGAGGTAATTGCTCCACTTCAGATATGTCAGTGGTGGAAGGTAAATAGAGCTCATTGCTGTTCTTCTACTTGCCCAGAAAAATACCACCAAAGAAAAGGTGGAAGGAAAGTGTTTGATTGCATACATTGTTATTAAGTTGTGTATGCATTGCAAAGACTCCTTAGGGGCAATTATTGGGATGTACACATAGGAACAATGGGGCTGATTCATCCTCATATCCTTCCAGCTTTGCATCACAGAGTCCTAGGGAGGACAGTGGTGTCAGAATAGACTTGCTTACAATCATAGCAAAACTGATTCTTTTCTAAGTCACTCCAAAAAACCACCCTTCTCAAAATACATGCTTGCCAAGCACAGCAATGTTTTAGCTTATGGGAGATGTATTTATGGTTATTCAGGTTTAAATTAACATGATCTACAGTCCCAGTGTTCCATTGAAGCCACATCCAAAATAATATGTGCATTTATTAAGGAGTTGATAGTTTTGGTACGCAATTCACAACAAACACTTGCACAAACTTGAAGCCAAGGCCACCCATTAGCTGTTTTCTCACTTCCTGAAACTGACAGTACAAACGTTTTGAGGTTATGAGAATTTCTTGCACAGATATCAAAAAAGTAGGTCAAAGAAAATGATAAATAACAATGTGAGAGGTGAGGAAGGTAACAAGATGAAAAAAGCAGAAAAGCAAAATGAATACAAAAAAAGAAAAATGAAGGAAATAAAACCAAGCTGCAGAGAAGAGACAGTCCAGGGTGGAAGAGAGATGCAAAAAAGCAATTTTCAAGAACCCCAGAAATCTAATTCTAAAAGCGCACTGCTGGCCAAGAAAAGATTGCTAACAATTTCCTGCATCTTTGAATCCTGCTGGTCATTTTATATTAGAAGAGAAACTGAGAGAACAGACATAATTTTTTGAAAATTAAAATAGCAGGAGATAATAAATATCTGCCAGAGAGATGCCCTGAGAAAGAAAACAGGTCATTGAAGCAGCCCAAATGAACAGAGATAATAGCACATGTGTAAAATTTCAACAAGAGCAAACATAAAAAAGAAAATTCAAAAACTAGAGGGGGAAAAGAAATACATTTAAGCTTCTTAAACTGGATTCAAATAAAACATTCTGCTTCTTTTAACCTAGTTTATTTTAGGCAAGGTTGAAGAAGCAGAAATCACCACATACAATGAAAATACTGAAGCACACACAGTTTTCATAAACACAGGAATTTACTTACACAGGTGGACAATCCTATTGCATTCTGAAAGGTACATCTGACAAAATACAGACATTTCCAGCTTTATATATCACACTTCTTTCAATCTCGGAGCTGATTTGCACAAGCTGGAAATTCCTATGCTACGTAAAGGAACCTGTATTTCTTCTTTTTGACTGGACCGTGCTTTGCTGCTGGCTACACCGGAAAGAACAAACTGTACTGCAAGGCACAGCACGATGAACAAGGGCCCGGGGAGCGCTGAAGGCGGAAGCAGCACTAACCCTGCTGTGATCACACCTCCTGCTGCACCGGCTTTGCACAACCACAAACCAGCTCCCAAACACACCGCGCAGCCAAACAGGACAGCCCCACAAAGAAGGTAAAGGAAAACTTGTGCAGAGCGAAGCAGTTTCCTTTTCTGAGCTGTAGCTGCTCGTTTCACTGAAGAATTTGGCAGCCAGCCACGAAGGAGTGTAATCTGGATCTACACAGAGAGGTTACACAATGCCAGCTTTTGGGGCCACAGGTCCCCAATGAGGATGGCAATTTCTCCTTGCAGCAGTTGGGAATTTCACACAGCTAAGTGAAGAAGTCTTAATCCTTTGACAGGATAATGCAAAGGTTAAAAGGCTAGCAAGGAAATGAGGGATTGAGATCAGGCTTTGTGCAAGAATCAAAAGATAGTAAATACACTTCCTCAGCTGCGTTAAAATCATAGTCACAACTGTTAAGTACATGACAACGGAAGAAAGGGGCAAGAAAAAAAGGACAGTCATATTTAAGGGACAGAGGAATTAACAAAGTCTGATTTCCCATATAAAATGCTGTCTCCTGTTCCCCCTTTCCCTGCAATCACAGTAAACCTACATTTCTGCCAGGTCCAAACCACACACGGTGAGTGCTCTGCGATTTCCCCTCCTGCTATTCTGTTCAGCATGTGCTGGACAGAGGGATGACAGCTGAATCCTGGTTCTCCTTCCTGAACGGGACTGATGACGCAATCTTGTCCCTCCTTACCCAGACATCTCTTTTCCTGAAGTTTGCAAAAGTCGGTCATCTCCGAGGCTTTCCACCCCACTGCCAAATGTGACTGAGCGAGGTCATTAAAAAGTAACAGAGGAGCTGCTTGGTGGAGAGAAACCAATACAATAATTTTCTTTCCTTCAGCCAGACTAAGGAAGTAAAAGTAATTACTGGTGTTATTTTTGGTGCAGAATGCTGAAAAGGAAAAGGACAGAAAATATTCAGGGTACAAAACAATATTGAAAAATGACAAATGAATGAAATATTATATTTAGCTTATGGCACTTTAGAAAAGGGATTAAATAAATAGGTCATATGCAGAGATGAGCTATTAGTTTAAAAAATAGTTGTTACAAATATATAAGTAAGTATAAGTATAGTGTATAAGTATGTATTATATTTATTTATATATGTAAGTTGATTAATATTATGTATAATACATATAATTAAGCTGCTTAACATGACATATAATATTTGTAATTTTAAGTTAAATATGTTATAAAAATATAAAAAATACAAAATAGGTAAATTTAAAAATCTAACTATAAAAATAATGCGATTTGGGGTTCAATTTCCCTGCAATTGCTCAGAGGAGTACAAGCGGGGCAGAGACAAGTCAGTGACTACAGAGCAGGACATGGCATAGGCCAGAAGAAACGGGGCCACATCTCTTGTCCTTCGTAACCCAGTGGTGCTTGGGAAAACTGGATGTTCTCTGCAGAACAAATGATGGCAGCAAGTGCAGTTTAATACAATGAACAGGGTAACTCGGGGAGCCGGGGAGCAAAGGGCGCGGAGCAGGACGCCCTCAGGCACCGCCGAGCCGGGCGGCGCCACCGCCGCGGGTGGTGAGACCGCCACGCGTTCCCTAAGGGATCCCTCCCGCCGCGTTCCCTCCGGCTCCCGCAGGGACCGGCCCCTCTCCCGGCGGGATCAGCCCCTGTTCCGGCGGATCAGCCCCTCTCCCAGCTCCCCGTGGCCCTGGGCTGCCGCAGGCCCGGACGGTGGCGGGAGCGGCGGCCTGTGGGGCGGCGGCCCAGAGAGCGTTGCGGGTGCCGTGTGGCGGCCGGGACTCGGGAGAACGCGGGAGCGCGGCCTCGGGCATTTAAGATGCTTTAAGGGTACTTTAAAAAGTTAGGACTGTGCTCACAAACTGGCGGTCTGCTCTGCAGAGAAGCAGGAAGACCGTCGTAATATCACATCGCAGTTTATTTTATGAGGTTCTGCAAGAAAGTGTTCTAATTCTCAGTGATTAGCTTCGAGTAACCTGCTCTTGCTTATTAAAAATGAACCAAATTAATTTAACGGCTCGACCTGCGATCCCAGGGGACAGCCCTCAATATTGTTTTGCCTACAAGAACGAAATTGAAATAAGAAAAAAGAATTCACTTCTTTTCTATCCCTCCAGTTCTTCACTTCTGCCTGAAATGGCCAAGGAAAATTCCCCATCCCTAGCTGAAGTTGTAAAACGAGTTGCAGAGCAACAGCAGTCACAGGCATCAGACGTAGAAAAAAACAAAGCAGTTCTTTTCCAATTGCAGGTAATAAACCTTGTTTAGAGTAGTTAAATCAATTAATTTTCATTTGATGAAGAAGTATTTCCTTGAACAAGAGAAGCTGGTGGTACTTAATGGATGAGTGCATTCAAGTGTAAGACAGCTCTTCTGTTCCTGTGTGTGGCATTCAGGCTCAGTCTAAACTGGGGGTGTGTACTTTTATTTTAAGGCCACAACACAGCTAAGTGTTCAAACATAAAGGGGAAAAAAAGTATTTTGTGTCAAAAAAGATGCTAAGAAAAAAAAATTACACAGTGTGGTGAAAATCTGAAAAAAAAAAATTAAAATCCTTCCCCCACAATTTCTTAGGAAATTATTATTTTTTTAAAAAAATTGAAAAGCTATGACTCTGCATTTAGTTATTGTGGGTTCGCTTTGTGGGTTCAGCCCAGTATTTTTGTTTTGTTTTTTCAAGTAACAAACCAGCGTTTCACTGGCTGTAATGAAGTGTGTATCCTAAGTAGCCATTAAACACTGGTATTATTTGGTACTATTTTGTAGTTTTTGTGAAGACTCTGTGATAATTTTTTTGTCTTTTATTAAGCTTTCAATTACTGTTTAACCTCCAAGTTTCTATTGAGAAACTTAGTTTTAAGGCTGAGAAAAGATGATTCCAATTGACATTTTAGAGGAGGGAAGAAGACAAATGGAAATAGTACTGTTCCAATTATAACATCTGTGCATAGGTCTACAACTGAAATAATTGATATTTGAAATTTTGCACAAAAATAAAATTTCTGAAGTAACAGTGAAATCTTGTAATTTAAGGAATGCCAGTGGACTTGCCACACTTTACAAGAAGCTTTGTCCTGTATCCCAAAATATAGTCTGATGATGCTGCAACAATAATTTGTGATCTTAACAAATTTAAAACAATGTAAAACAATTTAAACACATGTATCTGTTGTTCACATGTATATGAACAATTTAAAAACATGTATCTGTTTTAAAACAGACCCAGAGAACTTTGAACCCCTAGGGAATTACAAGTCCTTTCCAGCCTTGATGATTCTGTAATTTCTTATGATGGTTTGAAGTACTGCTTCCTGGTTTTGTTCACTTCTCCTCAGTGAGATGATGTAGATGCCTTTTTAGGACTAGATAGATATTTCTTATGGAGTTGAAAATAGCTGTGATTAATTCAACTCCCAGCTACTACTGTGTAGAAGTCAGGGTTAAAAACCTCAGTTGAACAGTCTAGTTAAAGTCCATCACCTGACACACCCCTCTATGTGTTTTTGTAGGTTTTTAAGGGATTTTTGGCATCTTTAGTTATTTTTAGTCTGATCAGGACTTCACTAGATCTAAGCAAACATTAGATATTTTCATATATATATATATCTTGAAACAGTGAAGTATTTAAAAGTGAGTTCAAAGGTATCAAAATATTTTAGACTCAATCTAAGGGGAGAAGACTAAGATAGTATTCTTACATTGTGCCTCTAAGACAATTATATTAAAAAATATAAGTCTAATCATCTTCCATTCAAATGACATTAGACAAGTAAAATAAAGGGCTGTTGAATAAATATAAATTACAGTGTTTAACTAGACACTTCATATCTTCCTCCAAAAACAACTTCTTAAATGAACACTGAAATATTTTACAGGCAAAGTGCCAGGAACTAGAAAAAGAAATGAATTCTGTTCTGTTAGAAATAAAGACAACAGAAAGGGAGATACACCTGCAAGATGATGCCGTAGAAGTGACAAAATATCGCTGTGAAAATCTGGAGGCCCAAGTCAGAGCCCTGTATTCTGAAAATTTAAAATTGAGGTGTGATGCAGAAACAATACAAGAGGAGTTTGAGATGAAACTTGCACGAAATAATGAATATCGGGAAAAAATAAGGGATCATAAACATCTCTTTTGGGAGATGGAAAATAAATTGCCAGTTATGATTGAACTTGCTGAAAAGAAAGCGGTTGTGGAAGAATTAAAGGCAAAGAAAGAGGAATTAATATGTGATCTGCAGAATCCAGAAGGATCTGTTATAAAACAAGTGCAGGTATGATATTTCCTTTTTGATTCTTTCCTTTTATATGAAATAATTTTGATATCGTTCATATAATATAGTTATTTTGTCTAATATGTCTATGGTTCATGAGGGACTGAGTACAAGGGAATATAGGTAATTCATAATGCTGCATTAGTTGGAAAAATTTTTAGTTCAATATCCAGTCAAAAATATCAGTATTGTTATCTGTGTAATATTGTAAAAAATATTTATACTGTGTGTTTGAATGAACTCAAATATGAAAATATTACACAACTGTAAGTTAAGCTTTATCATTGGATAAATTTACATGGACACTTTTCAGAATTCTGTGGAAGATTGCCATATTGTTACATGTAAGAACACAATATTCTTTAAACTTTTGCCATATTGTTACAGGTAAGAACACAATATTCTTTACACTTTACTGTCAACAAAATAAATTTGAGTTGTTTGCCAACAGGAGGTAGATTTGTGAGATGGTGATAGAAATAAGAGGAGAGAAAAAACATGTTTGGTATTCTAATTTAACACTGTTGGTTTTACTTGACCCAATTACAATTTTTACTAATAACAACTACACAGGAATTTTTCACCGTGGAATTTTGCCAATATATGGACAAACACAAGTATGAAGTTGAAAGGGGATCACTGATTTAAATGTGATGTAACTTGCATTATTGAATATTTGATAGTATTCTGTTAATGTAAGTTGATGAAAATTTGTTTGTACAACAGATCTTTCAATACTGAAAAATAAAGACTAATTAATATTGTATTTCCCTATGAGAAAGAAAAATATATCTAAAATATTACACTATTCTTCCATTTTGCAGTTAACTGCACTTTAAATAAAGACCAGCAAATTGAGCTCAAAATCCTGTATTGTTTTAGTTCTTATATTTCAGATCAAGAGTATACATTCTTACAGGTGTAGAACCATGTGATAAAGTATTTAATGGATAATTTTTAATTACCCATCCTAAATTATTTTAATTTTAATTAGTATTAATAGGTTTATTGTGAAACTGTTTATTATAGACCTTTATCCCATCTCCATTAACTGAGACTGTTTAGATGAGACAATTTTAATAAGTATATTAGATGAACTGTGCAACATTTCAGGGAGTGGATTTCTGTATCTTGACTTACATCTGCAGGAAGAAATCACACATTTAAAAAGTGAAGTCACAACATTGAAAGATTTGATCAATAAAAAAAGAGATCTGCTGGAAGAAGAGAAAAAAAAGCATGCTAAGCTTAGAAAGGAAATTGAGGTGAGTCATTGGGATAAAATTTAATTGCAGTTCTCCTGATGGAATGTAGATAATGCAAATGAAGTTTGAAGTACTTTATACAGCAGTGCTGGCTATACATTGTTAAAGTATATGTAGTAATGATGCTGTCTTAAATTCTGGGTACTGATAGTCTTTCTAAAATACAGAGCTTAATTGTGAAGAGCACTTTTTTCTGAAGTCTTTTCAGAAAGACTTCATATGTGAACTTTTGGATTCCTGGAAAAAGAAGAGGTTACTGAATAGTAGTAAAGCAAATGCACATTTTAAAATTTGTGTGATATTTCTGAAATACTTTACATTTCACTGCTGACTTGATTTTTCATGACTTGATAACTCATCAGTGGGAGACTAAAATGCACCAGGAAAGTGGACTTCCTATGAATCTCCCTAATTTAAACTGACATTAAATTAGGAGTAACACAACGGCTCCTAATTAGCTAATAAGATAAAATTCTAATCAATAGTTAAAAGCTTGTCTTTTAAATAATTGAACTATATTTTTCATTTTGTTCCTTACTAAAATACCCTTAGAAAATTTTTAATTTGGAAGTTTCATACCATTTATCTTGTCAGTTTAAATAAATGCCACAAAATTTAATGAGCAAAGCTTAATTATATAAAGATTAAGTGATTTAAGGTTAGGTCTATTGCCCTTTGTAAAATGTAGGAGGAAGAAGGAATAATTTTTTTCACGTGACAGTGAGCAGAGAGAATTTTTAACCTGAAAAGTAAAACACAGCTGCTTTAGAATAGATCTGCTAGTCAGCATTTGAGAAAATTTTTTATTACCAAGGCAACATCCTCTTAAGAAAATTCTCTAAATCCAAAGTTAAATTAGGTAGCCTAAAAATAATGTTCTCTTATCAAAATCAATTTAATTAAATAGAGAAGGTTAATCTTCACTTTTGTTCTTCAGTTGTTTGCATTATATGTTCTTTCTGTCTCAGAAGGAAGCAGGTTCAAACCCAAAGCCTTTCAGGGTATTATTTTCTATTAAGAACTCTCCTGAAAACAGTCCAGTTTTTAATATAAGAACTGGCAATGGATAGACAGACACATTTATACCCAGCAGTCATCAGCACAACTTGGGAAAGAATACCCAAGTCAAGCACAGGAATAAAGTGAGATACTAGGCACATGGAAGAGGTTTTATTGAGCTGCAGTGGTGGAATTCAGCTACAGACTGCTGGCACTTGATGTAATTGTTTGGAGCATCCAAAGGAGGGCAGCTAAGGTGGGCCTGGAGGGGAAGCCATAGGAGGAGCATCTGAGATCACTTGGTTTTGTTCCGCCTGGAGGAGAGGAAATGAGCAGAGACCTCATTGCAGTTAGAGCTTGCTTGTGAGGATGAAAGTAGGGGCAGGTGCTGATCTCTGCTCTGTGATGACAGTGACAGTATCTGAGGGACTGGCCTGAAGTTGTGTCAGGGGAGGTTCAGGTTGGACATTAGGAAAAGGTTCTTCACTCAGAGAGTGGTTGGACAGTGGAACAGCCTTCCTAGGGAAGTGGTCACAGCACCAAGCCTTCACAGAGTTAGGAAGCATTTGGACAATGCTCTCAGACACATGGTGTGACACTTAGGAATGTCCTGTGCAAGGCCAGGAGTTGGACTTGATGGTCTTGATGGTCCCTTCCAACTCAGCATATTCTGTGACTCTTAAAGCAGCCTGTGAACCTTTTCTTATTCTCTTTCCTGAGCACTAGCCCCATCACCCATTTCTTGAAAAGCAGATCCTGTTCCCAGCATTGGACAGGGTTGTCAGCAATAAATCAGGGTGGTTATCTGTGCAGGGTCAAGGCTTCAGTCATAAGGATAATTCAAGATATCCACAAATAATAGAAAATTTGTTGTTATGTAAAATAATTTTAAAAATCCCTACCCAAAAGACTGTCTATTCCCCTCCTGCCCTCTTTCCCCAATGCCAGTGTGTGACTGTATTACTCTTGGCAGATACTTGCCTATCCTGTCCTTAAACAACCCTAGTGGTGGAGATACCCTGAGTGCCCAGACAATTTTTTTCTAATGTTTGACTTTCATGTACACAAGATCCAATAGAAAGCACAATGTTGTCCCTTCCCTGTCTCCAGTCATCATATTAGTGCTCTCTCCCTCAGCAGATGTGCCAGACTGTTCCCAATAATGATGCTAGAGAGGCATTTCTAAAACAAGCAGATAATATTGATCATAGATGTTTCAGTGTTGTACAATGCAGTCCTAGTGATGCAGATGCCCAAAGCACTCATTCAGATGAGTGAATCTGACAGCATCCCTCAAAAAGTTGCAAACAATTATAGTGGTGAGTGAGGTATCATGGAGGCAATGAGGTAACATGAGGTAACAAGCCATCACCAATAAAATAAGGCAGTTTATAGAACACCAGTGAGGCAGTTTCCTAGTTATTTGCAAAATTTAGGCAGTGAGATTTGCAGGAAGTCACCAACAGTGCTGTGAGTTCTGATGCAGCTGTTCATCATCCATGTGCATGTGAAATACAATGTAATGAATCTTCAATAAGTAGACACAAGAGTAATTATACACTACCACTCACATGCCATTTAAACTAGGGTAAGTAAGCCCAAATTTCATTAAGGGAATGCTCATTATTTCCATTTTTATTGCAGTGAGTGTTTTATTCTTTTAACACTTCAGAATGCAAATTTACTTCTCCACATAAAGCAGCAATGAGGGCAGAATTGACAGTCCTGCATTGCCACAGTATTGCCTAAGAAAAATGTGCCATTTTAAATGCAGTGCAGCTACAAAGGTGCTACTACAGTCAGCAAGGTTACCTCATTTACATTCCCATTTATACCCAAACATGCTTGTCAAAGAATGAAAATTTCTTCTTTCTCACCTCTCATTTTGGAGCCTCGAATCTTCCACACGCAAAGCCTTGCCAGAGATGTGACATGCTGTCCTTGGGTGGTATTAGCTTTGGTAAATTTTAAACATCTACAGAGCAGATATCCACACTGACCTCCACACTTAAGGTCTTAGTAGGACAGAGCTTTTCTTTCTTGAATGGGAAAGCGAGGCATGATTCATGTCCTAAACCAGATATCTGAAATAGGTCAGATGAATGCTTGAGGGCCACGCAGGATTGGAACGGGGGCTGAATTCAAAGGGGCCTCTGGCGTGAGCGGCAAACAGAGGCGTGGCACGGCACTTTGCGAGGCAGTTCATGCAGGCAGGACAAGCAGGCAGGGGTACAGGTTTTCTTGGTAGTAAGATTTACTGTGTACTGTTTGCAATGTTTCTGTTGGTTGGTAGGCTTTGGGATTTCTGCTAGGAATGGTTTGCATGCAATCCAAGACTGTAGTTAGTACAAGTGTATGCAATCAAAGGACGTGTCTGTCTAGACCCATTCCTGAGCTGAACTCACCTCTGTAAATAGTTTTGCTGGAATGATTTTATGAAGGTTTTTTTTTTCTTTTTAGGTACAGAATAAGAGATATGATGCTATATTAAAACGTTTGCATTGCCAACTGAACAAAGTCCAATCAAATAAAAGACAATGGCACTGGAACATTCAGCAGTTGGAGAAGAAGGCTGCAGAACTAAGAAAATGTCTGGGAGTAGCAGAGTTACAAAACATCATGTAACAAATTTAACAAAGAATAGAATGCATGTAATCTTTTACAGGCAGTGTTTTTTTTTTTTTTCTGGAAAGGCTAGAAATCTTAAATAGCCTGATAAAAGACCTCCGTGATTTCTTTCTTTTAAAAGTTTTTCTCTCTTTCATTTTGTGGCCTAAACTAATAGCCACAATAATGAGTTAGCTGTTCAGGAGTAACAGTTGTTCAGGAAGAAAGTTAGTGACACTTCCAGGTGTTTTCAAAATATATGTCTGTTTTATCTAAAAAGTTATTTAAAAGTCAGCCAAACAAGATTTGGGAAGTCTCTTTATATTTCACTTGGTCTCCGGATGTTGGGATGTATGCTGCTTTTCTTACAGAGAAATTAATATTGGTATATATTTGTACTCCTGAGACACCAAAGTCCTTTTATCTTTTATCCACATCCCTTTTTATTGCAACTTGCTAAGGAGCTCTGAAATCTTAATGGCCCGTATTTTGCTCTGTGGGAAACTCAGATAGAAGATGTTACAGTATGCTAGGATGTTTTGGAATGGAGGCCAAAGGCTGTCAAGTTGTAAAAGGCTTTGGAACAAGTACGCTCCAAACTGGACTTCAAATCATCTGACTTCAGCTGGTCTAATAGATGTTAGCAAAGAGGAGTGAGTAGGTACTACATCTGGGCAGCTTGTAAAATGGAACAACTCACCCTCAAGAAACAGGAATGCATTATAGATTCATGATAAAAGAATTTATTGTCTGGAAGATTTTAACTAATGTCTAACATCTAAGTGCTTAATTATCTAAGATGACTCAACATAAATGACAAAGTATTAAAAATTCTTGTTAAAGCAGTAGTGAACAGTAGCTGCTTTCCTTTACTTTCTTTTTATTTTTATATTGCTTGGGATTTGAAGAATTTACACTTAAGGCAGTTGTTCTGCTTGAAGATAACTTGTAATGTTTATCTGTTCTATGAAAGTAGCTTTTTATTTAAGGTGTTGTCTTGAATAATTTAGATTTACCTTTACTCATGAATATAAAATGAAGACTTGACTATTTACTGTGAAAAATGTTAAACTGCTTATATATTGTTATCTTAGGAAAGCAAGGCTTAAAATGTAGTACCATTATTGCCTTCATACATTCATATATATTTACATTTCCCTTAATCTGTTATTTCACTTAATATAAAGTTATTTTAAGCAATCTCCTGATTCATTAAGGTTCTCTCTCGACATTGTTAATCTCTCAAGGCTTCTTTGCTCAGTCTTTTTCCTTTGCAATAATATGAACCAGGCTGCTTTCATTACAGCAATAAAGTAGAAATAAAAACCTTAATAACCAAATCTATAGTAATAGTATGTCTTGAATATTGAGTCTTATTGAGTATGTAGTGCAAGCCTGTAATATTACAATTGTTTATCCCTACTCAGAGCAAAATAGCATCCATTTTATGCACGTGTCTTCTAGAAAAGGTCCAGATCTGAAAAGTTGGGGAATTTACTGTGCTATTGTTAGTTTCAGTGATTAACTGCTCTTCATTTATTTTGCATGATTCCTAGTTTCAGTTTATTCATCCATCAAGTGAAATGATTGTACTTTATATCATGTACAATGATATAAGTAAAAAATACTGATGTTCTGTCTTCTTATTAGGTAAATAGTTCAAGCCTTCTAAAACTATTGATTATCAGATCTGACCAACGGCTTTAGCTTAATGCATCCCCCCCAAAGTGGTACAACATCCAACATTTTCGGGGTCTTAAGATGATGTACCCTTAAGTATGGCTTTTACCACTGATATTATCTTGTTTTTATTTTTAGTTTCTCATTAGTTCTGCTCCAGAACAATTAATGCATCAAAGCATGTTTTGTATCTTACTTCAGCTAAGTTCACTTTGACATCTGTTACCATGGTCTAATATCACAGTTTAGCCTTGCATTTATTACCAGTTGAAAACAACTATAGCAAACAATCCAAACCATCTAATGTAACAACAATATCACACCTTTGTTTTTCTTTCTGACCAATAAAGATACCTGGGCATTAGGATGGTTTCTGTATTATCAACACATATACAGAGTGACTCACTCATCTCAAGTAAATACCTGGGACTTATATCTTCCTTGTTCCTTTCCATAAATCTCAGTAATTTCTGGTATCTCAAATTACTTCTATGGTTCTTTGTCCATGTTTTGAAATTGTTTAATGTAATTTAACAGGGGTGCATACAAAGGCTGTGTATAGTACTCCCTTTACTGCTGCATGTGGAGGAAATGTTCCCTTCTATACAAACATCTTCCTATCATCCAAGATCGAAGTTGTCGTATACTCCTTCTTGCTCCTTGCAAGAGAGCTCATGTTTTTTTTCCTACTGGGACCCTTGACCCCTTCATGGGATCTCAGTTCAGTTACCAAAGGTAGCTTTTCTTCAGTGTAGAACTTGCTTTTTCAGTATACATACTTGAACTGTAGCTACAATTTGTGGCAGTAAGGCTGAGAAGCTGGGGTATACTTTGCTAATTTCCAAAGCTCACTCCATTCATATGGGGACACAGCTAAACCACGCAACAGCTCCTTTCTGGGCCGCACAGATGAGTTTCTTGGTAAAACCAGGATGTGAATTGGAAGGAATCACAAATGACCAAGGATCTTTTTTGACAGAGTTCAGCTATTACCAGGGAATCCCCAGTAGTTACTAGAGTATTTGAGACACAACTTAGTCTGTGTAAATGTGTATATTGAAAATACATGCTTTATTACACCATGCATGCACTAGTATTGATTGTTGTTGTCGTCCCACATCACTGTCCTAGTTAAACGCCACAATTATAATCTCTCATCCCACATAGACACATCATTTGTGTGTTTAACTCTGCCTTAAAACATGAGTTCATTAATTTTTAATTTTGGAAGCTTTGTCCTCAGCTTCCAACAGACTTCTGCTTTAGCCAGTGACTACACCTGAAATCTGTATTCAGTGCTAAACACCACATTTTAGAGGATCAAACACATTTTGTGCACTTGCATTAAACAGAACGTTATATAGCAAACTACTTATATATTTTCCCAGGTGCAACATCTCAAATTTAACATTCAGAAAAATAAATATAAGGTATAAACATTTTACTAGGGAATTACAGTTAATTGGGAGAAAACCTCATATGGAGAAAAAAAGTCAGCTGAAACAAGGAAATAAAAATTACTACCTTTTCTAACTCTTCTGTACAACAAATGAAAAAAAGAGAAATTATGTAGCTTTTTATAACAATGTCTAGTTTCAACAAATCCTGGCAACCTCCTGAGGCATAATTTTCTTGGTACAACATTAAACAGTAGCAGTTTGATTTCAGAGCATTTTTCTTCCCTTAGCAAGCAAGCACAGACAATAGGAAAATGGTTTATTATTTTTGGGAAATAACTTAGTGAATGAACTTTGTATTCTTATTAAATGAAGCTCTCTCAGCTCCTGTTGGAACCAAATTGTGCTGCCAAACCCATATCAGTCATTTTTGAGGGTGGTTGTGGGGCTAAGGGAAGAATTTCAGGCTTCAGTGCTCCGCAGAGAATGGCAAGAAGAGCCACTGCCCACTCTAAACAGCAAATCAGCAATGAGCAGTGGGCATGTAAATAGCTAAGCGTGAGAAAACTTGCCAGCCAACGAGTCCTACCCACCACCTAGGAAAACTTTAAAGCACAGGAAGCTGGATTTATTCCAACGATATAGTGTCAATGGATAGGACAATACTGGGGGAATTCCACACTTGACAGGGAAAATATACAGCTGTTGAATCACTCATGACTTGCAGCAAGTGTAGTGCTGTATGATAAAGGGAGGTATTTCCCCATGCTCTAAGCCAGTGCTCCACAGGAAACTCTTTAATGTGACTCAACAACCTCAGGTGCTGGAAGCAGAGGAAATGTGTCAGATAATGCAGACATACCTGCTAAAGCCACTGCTCTCACCAGGGCTGCACCAGATAAACAACATAAAAACACAACAACAGAGGAGGGAAGGAGGGTTGCGGGTAAACACCAGTGCTGTGCTGCTTTGCCTCTCCAACAGTTTGCTTTGTCCCTCAGGAGAGTCACTTGCAGAACTTGTGCATGAGTGTGACAGGAAATAGTGCATGATATTCTACCATAGTTCTTACACAATGCTTCAGAGAAGAATCATGGCCACATCATGCATTGATGGTACATCATGCTGATGAGGGTGGGGAAAAAAACAAATTTCAGAACTCTTAGCTGATTTTCTGAAATGCATGAATATATTGTTACCAAAGTAATTATTAGATCCTTTGTTAAAATGCAACTGTAGCATGTAGCTTTGGGTCATGTGGGGGCAGTGGCTTTTTGAGGAACTGCCTTAAAAGTGTGGTGATGCACTTCTTGCACAGGTTGCCTATAGAGGTGGTGGATGCCCCGTCCCTGAAATCTTTTAGGGTCAGGTTGGGCTGGGCTTAGAGCAACTGGATCTCGTTGAAGATATCCCGACTTATTCCAGGGGTTTTGGACTAGAGGGCCTTTAAAAATCCATTATAAGCCAAACTGTTCTATGTTTCTGTGAAAGCAAACAGAAGAGACAGATTTACCAAGTCAATAAATATAATTCTTGTTGAAAATGGTTGCTGCAATAATGAGCAAATGACAATGCTCTGTGTTGAACAGGGATTTCTCCTATTAGAAATCATATGAGTTCTTTCTACCTTTTTCAGTAGCTTTTTAATTTAAATAGTTCAATGTTTGTACAGAATTCAGTAAAATTGCCTCTAAATCTTTCCAAGAGCAGCAAGCTTCTTATCCTCTCATTTTATTATAAATACCACATATCATATATTCAACACTTATTGACTGTCACTTATTGACATAAAAGCTTCGATGTTTTTCTGTTATCTTCACGTTGTATTATTTAACTCAATCTATCCTTTGCAGTGATTTCAGCAGACTTTTCCGGGGTGGAACAAGCACCGGCATTTGAAACGCAGCTGCTGCTTCCCTGTGCTGAAGTCCAATAGTTCCC